GTATGTATGTATGTATGTATGTATGTATGTATGTATGTATGTATGTATGTATGTATGTATGTGTGAGTGTGTGTGAGTCTATCCGGATATTTTAACTCGGCACCCAAGCAAGCTTCGGCGCCAAAATTTTGTCGATTGCTTCCCCGGCCAAGTGCCACCTCAGGGCCGTGGTACCAACTGTCATGCAAGTCTGGGCCCCGCGTACGAGAGGGTGAAAATTTGGCGGGAAAATGGCTAACTCGGAAACCAGAAATACAGGAAGGCTAAAATTTTCAAGGAATGCTCCCAGCACATGCACAACTTGAAATCATTAAATTCAGCCTCTCAGTGCGAGTATTTTTCACGTGCGACCCCATGAAAGTTTTTGGCGCAGAAATGGCTAACTGGAGAACTAGAAAAGCCCGGAGGCTGAAATTTTTAGGGATTGTTCCCAGCCCACATACGACTTAACTTTATCAAACTCAGCCCTTCCCCCCTCCCCCTCCCGTCCCCAGCGGACGTACGTGGTTGTCACTTACGGCCTCGTGAATATTTTTGGCAAAAAAACTGCTAACTCAAGAAGAAAATTTGGAAAGCTGAAATTTCAGCGAAATGTTCCTTGTCCAAATACCGCGTAGACAATTAACTTCTCAGACTTCAAGGACCAGTATATCACACATTTCCAGCTACTGGGCTTCCGAGCGATCTCATTTCAGCACGAAATATTGCAAAAACGCACGATCGCACGAGCCCGCCCGGTGCGCGTCGCCAAAGATTTTTTTTTTCTGTAGGAGCAACAAACCAACAATTACGGAGTAAGGATTCGCTTCGTTCAAGAATGGTGATCTCGGTGTGGTCATCATGTTAAAATCTTAAAAAGCTTGATTGGAAAAATAGTCTGAAGACCAACAGCGGCTTCTAAACCACCTAATCTTCGCGGTTCGCACAGTTCTTACTGCCTGCGAGATAAAAGAAATGCTGAGGGACTAGGAGCACGAAGGAAGCGGGCTTGAAAATTAACGCACTGAAGAGAGAAGTACGTAAAGTGCCGGATGTCGCGAATAGACTGCAAGCAAGCGATGCAGACATTTTGCCCAGGAAGCAAATATGTTGTTTATTGTCTGGTGAATGGGCCAAGAAATCACCGCGGCAAGACAGTGAAAATTTTTGCACCTTCGTCACCTATATCCAGTATGGATCTGCTATAGTTTGTTATAAGAATACGCAAGTAAGCCCATCTTTGGTGCATATCGTTGTTTGATTTTACAGCATAAGTCCAAACTCGATTTAATGCCCTAAACCAGGCGAGAGTGAGGGTCTTTTTGCTCACCTAGAGTTATTCAATTCGTGTCACGTCGAAATTCAAAACTCAAAGTTATGAATTTATAACTCTTTCCATTCTGAGACTGGAGATCTATACTCGAACGTTATTTCACAGATCGAATTGAACTGAAGTTTAAAACCCTCAGTGTTTGAAAAACTTTAATTCGTCTCATGTTATTAAACTTTGCGAGGACTTCGACCTCGCGGGATATACATACATACACACATACATATATACATATATGTATATATATGTACGTATATATATACATATATATATGTATATATATACGTACATATATATATATATATACGAAGAACTCGCAATGAGTTATTTTCTTCTTTTGCATAAACCCTAGGTCATGCCTCAAAAAGACATATAGCTTCTGAGGTTACGGTGGCCAAAGCAGTCTCTCAACTACGCTAGTACGAGCTTAAAGCACCTTAGTCTGCCGCATCATTTTCACTTCGAGCTCTTCACGCTCACGTCTGTACTGTGACTCCATTTCCAACATTTTCTTCTCCATTTCAGCTTTTAGATCAATGCCCTGCTTTTCGAGTAGTTCTTGCTGCGCGTATTTCCAATCCAGGGGCTCACCTATAAATTTCTCGTTCAACTTCAAAGGCGAAGCCGTAGCGAGTAAAGATGTGCAAGTTTCAGTGCTTTGATGGGCTGAAAAGCCTTTCCTCGACTTGTTTCTTCGTTTCAATTTCTTGTAATCTTTATCACTAGCAGAGCCACAAACATTGTTCACGCCTTCGTAATTTTTGTACGTTCTAGCATGAATATTTGGGTAATGTAAGTTCATTCAGTTTCTTGTCTTGAGTACATTCAGATATTTTAGGAGTTTGGGAAATCTTCGTGAAAATCTTGTTATTCATTTTTTTT